CTTTTCATCATCATCATCATCATCATCATCATCATCATCATCATCATTTTCTTCCCTTTACGGTTGCCAAATAATGTGGTAGCATGTGCACGCGCGTTCCAAACCATGAATGACGCAAATAATAATATTTTGGGAACGTGAACAACAACAAAATTTTAAATAATTATTATTTTATTCCCAATGAAAATAAAATAATTCCCTTTATAAATTATTATCTTTTGGCAAAGCATAAAAATTTACTAACATCGTAACAGAAAAAAAAAAAAAAAAAAAAAAAATTTCCTTTCATCGTTTTAAATAATATATATTACAAAAATTACACTTTTAAATTTAAATCAATGTTTATACGATAAATTCGATATTTATTTATCTATAATTAAAAAAATAATAATAATAATAATCGAAATTGATTTGTTCCAACAACTAAAGGAAACTCCCTAAAAAACAATAAAGAATCCTCCGAATCACAAAAAATAACCAAAATAATATCGTTAATCCTTTTGCGACAAATGGATTATAAGAAAACGATCGATAATTGATTATTGATTGATAGCAAAAAAAAAAAAAAAAATTGTTTGCAAAAAGAATCCATTGTAAAACATGTCAAATATTTTTTTTTTTTTTGTTTTTCGTAAGTGATTTACACGTAAACAAACTTGAATTTTTTTTTTTTCTTCCTGAAATAATTACGGTACTCAGGTATTCTTTTTTTTTTTTTTTTGATTTAGCTTTTAATCATTATTATCACAATCTTTTTTTTACTTATTGATCTATTTAAAAAAGATAAGCTCTTTAAAAAAAAATCTTAATCTTAATAAACAAAAGCAAAATCGATAAAGAAAAATTTCTTCCTTTTAAAACATCATTTTTTTTAAATTCGATTATTAAAATTTTGAAATTGCCTAATTATTATTATTATTATTATTATTATTATTACAAAAATATTAAATAAAATTTTTTATTTATTTAATTATTATTATTTTCTCCACATCTCATTCATTTTTTTTCTAGCAGAATACTTTAAATAACAACAACATGCGTCGAATATTGAAAAGAAAAGAACAAAAAAATATTAATAAAGAATTAAATATTTTAATTTTTACGATATATTATTATTATTATATTATGTACGTAAATAAAATAAAACTTGTTACACATTCCCGTCGATAGCGAGTTATTTAAAACCGAGAAACATAAATAAATAAATAAATAAATTTCTTTGTAATAACAACAGTTAGTTTTAAATAGAAAAAAAAATTCAATTACTTTCTTTGTCATTCTTTTTTTTCTTCGACTCGACAAATCTCATCTTTTTTATTATTATTATTATTGTTAATATCAAACATAAATAAAAAAATTATTATTGTAATAGAATTCTTTCTTTTTTATTCTAAAAAGTAATTTTATTTCGATAAAACATTATGTTCTTTACTTTTTTTTTTTTTATAGAAACACTCGCGGAAAACAATCGCGGATTTACCTAATAATAATAATAATAATAATTATAGTAAAATAATATGAATTTTCTTGTGAAAAAATACTTCGACTCAAATATATATATATATATATATATATATATATATATATATATATATATATATATATATATATATATATATATTTCATTATTCGTTTAAAAAATATTTTGTATTTAAATTTAAAATAAAGTCGTTAAAATTTTTTATGTAAACAAATAAATTTAACGGATAATTTTTTTTTTTTTTTTTGCAATAACTTTTAATAAATAAACGGTCATCGAATCCGAATCCCCCCCCCCCCCCCGATATCGCGTGTTAACGGTTAATTTAAAAAAAAAAAAAAAAAAATTTTTCACCTACGAACGCATAATAATAATAATAATAATAAAATCTTAAAGTCGAAGTAATAGATATTTAAATATATCATTTACGCATATTCGTAATCGTCTGGCAAAATTTTCTACAAAATGTTTCATTAAAAACAATTTTCATAAATATGTTTAATCGCTATTGAATAAAACATACGTAAATTATTATTATTTTGTTCGTACCGGAACCAATGTAATCAATGACCTCAGTTTAAAATAATAATAATAAAATATCGATTAGTAATAATCCGTTAAAACAAATATTATTT